AGTAGAAGAGACGGCTACATTTAACAGTTTCGGCAGTGAAAGGGTGAGAGCGAGATGCCAGCCTAGTTGAAGTTCATGATGTACTGTGTATACTATAAGTTATATCACATCAGAACATCGGAATAGCCAAGTTCATCTCAGGGTTGACATAGAAGATGAGCTCATAGCAAATATGGAGATTTGCACCTTATCAGATGTTAGTAGATGCCCCCAATATGTAAACTGGTGATTAACTTAGCTGAACTTAAGATGTGCACATGTGGGACAACCGTATAAGCACACCACCTGAGAGGGAAAAGCCAGAATATCTCACATCCTTGCAAGAAGATTTCAGTGAACCTCCCAAAGGCACATACTCTCAAGCTGATATTAACTGAAGGGAATTGAATTTATATTTCCATTAAGAATTTTCTGAAAGGAATTCCATTAATAATTGTACATAGTTAATATCTGTTGAGGTTTACGCAGAATATCGACTTGAGTGTCTTGGTGATAAAGTATAACCTAGATTATGTTTGTCATGGGAAGTTCTCAATAAATAATCAATGGTGATAATAAAGAGGAAAGGTTCAAGAATGTCACTCTGAAGGACCTCTGCTTTGATGTCATGGGGATCTAACTAAAGATTTGGTATTTACATGTAGATAGTTATGAAGAAACTGTGATAGATAGATAGATAATGAAGAGACTGAGATAGATAGATAGATGAGGTATCAAACGAGAGAGAAAGACATATAGTGTTATACTGGAACACACCTATTCTATTGTTAATAGACTCTCCCACCTATAATAAGTAGGAGTAGTAGCAGAGTAGCTGAGTGAGTTGGTCAGCCAGTCGATGTCAGACACTAAAAGTATCAGCGACCACCACTAGATTTCTCTGCGTCATTACCTATTATATCAAGTTCCTAACGTTTTGTACGTCGAACCTATTTTAGGACCGACTTAGTGAAATACAAGCCTCCACTGTGAAACCACTCTACAACATATAAATAGATATGAAGAGACTGAGATAGATAGATATCGACCTGAGAGTCTTAGTATAACCCAAATGATGCTTCTCATGGGACGTTCTCAATAAATAATCAGTGCTGATAATAATGAGACAAAGTTCAAGAATGTCACTGAAGGACCTCTGCTTTGACGTCATGGGAATCTAAGCAAAGATTTTTTATTTATATATAGATAGTTAGGAAGAAACTGCAATAGCTAGATAGATATGAAGTGACTGAGATAGCTATGAAGAAACTGAGATAGATAGAGACTGTTCATCATCAGATCTCATAGACTGACACCACAGAATGACAAAGAATTTTACCAGATAACAGAAGCCACATCTCTCGAACTATTCCAACAGAAATTAATTAAAATGAACCTGTGGGTCTTTCAAGACTAATGTTCATTCGTAGATCTCGAACACTGACACTGGAGAATCACAAAGAAGTTTACCAGATCACAAAAACCTCATCTCTTGAAGTCTTTCAACAGCAGAGAATTGAAATGAACCCTGTGAGTCTTTCAAGCGGACTGTTCCTCATCAGATCTCATATACTGACACCACAGAATGACAAAGAACTTTACCAGATAACAGAAGCCACATCTCTCGAACTGTTTCAACAGAAATAATTAAAATGAACCTGTTCATCATATGACCTCAGAGATTAACGCTACAGAATCACAAATGGTTCACCAGATAAGGGAAAGCACATCTCTTTCAACAGCAAGAATTAAAATGAGCCCTGTGGATCTTTCAAGAGGACTGTTCATCATCAGATCTCGGAGACTGACACTACAGAATCACAAAAGAACTTTACAAGATCACAGAATCCACATCTCTTGAAGTCTTTCAACAGCAAGAATTAAATGAGCCCTGTGGATCTTTCAAGAGGACTGTTCATCATCAGATCTCGGAGACTGACACTACAGAATCACAAAGAACTTTACAAGATCACAGAATCCACAGAAGAATTAAAATGAGCCCTGGGGATCTTTCAAGAGGACTGTTCATCATCAGATCTCGGAGACTGACACTACAGAATCACAAAGAACTTTACAAGATCACAGAATCCACAAAGTCTTTCAACAGCAAGAATTAAAATGAGCCCTGTGGATCTTTCAAGAGGACTGTTCATCATCAGATCTCGGAGACTGACACTACAGAATCACAAAGAACTTTACAAGATCACAGAATCCACATCTCTTGAAGTCTTTCAACAGCAAGAATTAAAATGAGCCCTGTGGATCTTTCAAGAGGACTGTTCATCATCAGATCTCGGAGACTGACACTACAGAATCACAAAGAACTTTACAAGATCACAGAATCCACATCTCTTGAAGTCTTTCAACAGAAATTAAAATGAGCCCTGTGGATCTTTCAAGAATGTTCAATCAGATCTCGGAGACTGACACTACAGAATCACAAAGAACTTTCAAGATCACAGAATCCACATCTCTTGAAGAGCAAGAATTAAAATGAGCCCTGTGGATCTTTCAAGAGGACTGTTCATCATCAGATCTCGGAGACTGACACTACAGAATCACAAAGAACTTTACAAGATCACAGAATCCACATCTCTTGAAGTCTTTCAACAGCAAGAATTAAAATGAGCCCTGGGGATCTTTCAAGAGGACTGTTCATCATCAGATCTCGGAGACTGACACTACAGAATCACAAAGAACTTTACAAGATCACAGAATCCACATCTCTTGAAGTCTTTCAACAGCAAGAATTAAAATGAGCCCTGTGGATCTTTCAAGAGGACTGTTCATCATCAGATCTCGAGACTGACACTACAGAATCACAAAGAACTTTACAAGATCACAGAATCCACATCTCTTGAAGTCTTTCAACAGCAAGAATTAAAATGAGCCCTGTGGATCTTTTCAAGAGGACTGTTCATCATCAGATCTCGGAGACTGACACTACAGAATCACAAAGAACTTTACAAGATCACAGAATCCACATCTCTTGAAGTCTTTCAACAGCAAGAATTAAAATGAGCCCTGTGGATCTTTCAAGAGGACTGTTCATCATCAGATCTCGAGAGACTGACACTACAGAATCACAAAGAACTTTACAAGATCACAGAATCCACATCTCTTGAAGTCTTTCAACAGCAAGAATTAAAATGAGCCCTGTGGATCTTTCAAGAGGACTGTTCATCATCAGATCTCGGAGACTGACACTACAGAATCACAAAGAACTTTACAAGATCACAGAATCCACATCTCTTGAAGTCTTTCAACAGCAAGAATTAAAATGAGCCCTGGGGATCTTTCAAGAGGACTGTTCATCATCAGATCTCGGAGACTGACACTACAGAATCACAAAGAACTTCACAAGATCACAGAATCCACATCTCTTGAAGTCTTTCAACAGCAAGAATTAAAATGAGCCCTGGGGATCCTTCAAGAGGACTGTTCATCATCAGATCTCGGAGACTGACACTACAGAATCACAAAGAATTTTACCAGATCACAGAATCCACATCTCTTGAAGTCTTTCAACAGCAAGAATTAAAATGAGCCCTGGGGATCTTTCAAGAGGACTGTTCATCATCAGATCTCGGAGACTGACACTACAGAATCACAAAGAACTTTACAAGATCACAGAATCCACATCTCTTGAAGTCTTTCAACAGCAAGAATTAAAATGAGCCCTGGGGATCTTTCAAGAGGACTGTTCATCATCAGATCTCGGAGACTGGCACTGCAGAATCACAAAGAACTTTACCAAATAACATAAACCACATTAGTTGAAAACTTCCAAAACCAACAGCAATTAAAATCGACAGCACATATAACATGAAAAGAAAATAATGAGTTATTCAAGGTGTTGACTTTCCACACTATTTTAAATAAAAAGCTAGGACAGAAACCGCTATCAATACTAGAAAGAACTATAACGGTTAATGGATTTCAGAAACCTATTTTTAGAAAAAACTGTTTGAAGAGAAAGTTTTATAAATTTCAACCAATATTAAAGTTAACGGTTCAGTCAGTGAATGGTGAATGTTTCCTTATAAGGAAACATCTAATCTCACGATTACCATAACCATTATCTATCTGAAGATATTTGGGCAGTGCAATGGTTACCAGTTTTGAAATTGTAATCAGAAAGCCAAGTTTAAGTTCTGTGCTACTCTGTTGCATTCACTTTCACACTAACCCTCACATGAATTCCTCTTTCTCCAACTCTAGACCTACTCATTAGATCACAGAGTAAACTGGAATCTCTAGCCTTGCATGGCAACAAGCCTATGAGAAGGAAAACTCTGGATTTCAAACTGTGGAGAATGCAGCAGTAAACAACTTCCCTATCTTACCCAAGAAGACATGGCAATTCCCAGATGATAAAGAAAAGGAATCTGTGGAGAGCCATGATCACCTTTGTCCTGAAAGGACATGGCATTAAAAAAGAAACATAACAACATCAGGAAGGAGGTAATATATTAAAATTCTCCCCAATCTAAAGTGAAATGTGAATGGTGGAAGATGCCTACCAGAAACTAAGCACATTATTAAGAAACAGGAAAATGTTTTTGGAAAGAAACAAACGAAAATAGTGCTCAACTGTTATGTAATATCAACCCTCCTGTAAGGCAGTGGATCCTGGATAATTTGCCTCACAGATGAAGAGGAGACTTGAGGCAAGAGATGTAATTCTACAGAAGAATAATGAGAATGTCCTGGACAGAGCATGAGTTTAATGAAGAAGTTTTAAGGAAAATAGGAATGAAACAGGACAATTTTGCATCTGAAAGACATAATGAGGAAAGTGGGTTTGAAGAATCTGAAAACCCACAGGATATATTGAAGATAAAAGAAGCAGAGGGAAGCAGCGAGTAACCTCCATAACAAGATGGACTGGGAAGGATATTAATAAGACAAATATTGCTTAGTGCTAAAACGGATAGGAAGTTGTGAAGAGCTATGACTATCCACATCATGAACGGACACAGCACATAAAAGAAGAGGAAAACATGAATATGATATTAACATCAACATAAAACAATAAATCCAAATGATATCATGGTGTATTGCTGGGGTGCCCTGGAGAGACTGCTGCTGCTTTTGCTCTGGTAATTGGAGTAATAACTGCTTATGACATTATAAAAGGCTGTAGTGAAAAAGAAAGACAATAAAAAATAAATACAAAAGATGTAAGAGAGAGAGGGGGGGGAGAAGAGAGAGGGAGAAAAAGTGGAAGGAAAAGAGAGGGGGAGAGAGAGAGTGGGGAGAAATGCTGCTATAAAAATAAGGTACATGTTATTTACTATAAAAAGCAAACATGTTCAAATGTTTTGAAACCAAAATTTCTTTCATGGATTTTTTGTCTTCTCCCGTCTTGTATTGCCATGTGAACCAATTCAACATATGTTTCTATTTTCTTAAATTATTTAAGTTATTTGAACAAGACTAGCATACAAAGATTTTCGTTATAAAAACGAACTCTTTAGTTTATATGAATAGATGTGAATTTCTGCATCCAGTATATATTTTTTATATTAAAAGAAATACATTTTTGAAAAAAAAGAAAAACTTTTTTAAGCATTTCACCCCAAGCAAGGCTTGAAGCCACTAGCACACAAGGGGTTACATAGGATTTGGAGCGAGAGCAGATAGGAGTGACAGAGGAAAGGGTGAGGAGAAGGATAGTGGATAGATCAAGGCAACTGGAGATGTCGATTGACATTACATTTGAATAGTTGGGGATTATAGCTCTCAGGGAAACTGGAATAGGGAAGGGAGTTCCACAGGCGAGAGGTGCGAGACATGAAGCCATTGGAGTAGAAGAGGCGGCTATATTTAACAGTTACGAGCCTTATAAGATAGATAGATAGATAAGGTATCAATCAGTCAATAATATATATATATATATATATATATATATATATATATATAGATAGGTAGATAGATAGATAGATAGATAGATAGATAGATATGAACAGTCTGAGATAGATATGAACAGACTGAGATAGATAGATAGATAGGTAGATAGATAGATAGATATGAACAGTCTGAGATAGATATGAACAGACTGAGATAGATAGATAGATAGATAGATAGGTAGATAGATAGATAGATAGATATGAACAGTCTGAGATAGATATGAACAGACTGAGATAGATAGATAGATAGATAGATATGAACTGACTGAGATAGATTGATAGATAGATATGAACAGACTGAGATAAATAGATAGATAGATAGATCGATAGACATGGAGAGTCTGAGATAGATATGTAAATATATATATGAAGAGGCTGAGATAGATAGATATGAACAGACTAAGATAGATAGATATAAACAGACTGAGATAGATAGATAGATAAATAGATAGATAGATAGATAGACGAGGTATCAAAAGAGATAGAAAGACATGGTTATGAATAGAAATCTAGTTAGTTGAGGTATCAATCGAGATATAAAGATATATAGATAATTATGAATTTGAATGAGATAGATCGATAAGGTTTGGTTGCTTTATTTAGTTTAACGGCATATCAACTTCAAAGGGTTATTTAATGCCGACAAGATTTTTCAGATAGATTCGTATGAATAGAATATGCATTCTTTGTAAGAAATCACTTCTGTAGATCAGGTTTCATTGGCGTATTTTGTAAAGTGGGATTGTGTGCGAAGTCAGATTTATTGCTAGTAATAATTTTACTTCTAAAATGTACGGCTGGAAATAATTTTTCCTTCCAAAATTGGTTACAAAACAACGTAGGTAAGCAGATTTAGTAAACAGTTGTTTTTTTTTTATATATTTTCCTGTAGAGTCTAATTTCTTTAATGCAATTTATGATGTTGCTTGGATCAGTCTTTACAAATAAATCCTTTAAGGTATTCGCTTTGTAGAATTTGATTCGGGTTTGCTGGCAGTTATAGCGATTTAGTAGAATGTGTTTAATGGTATATGGTTCCTGGAATCGGGCACATATTGTCGGTACTCCATTTTTTAGTAGACGTTGGTGGGTTATGTATGTATGTATGTCCTATACGGAGTCTGGCTAGAACAACCTCCTCTGGGACACATAAGATAGATAAGGTATCAATCGTGATAGACAAGGAATCGGTAAAGATAGATAAACAGATAGATGAGGCACCAGTCGTTAGATAAGGCATGAGTTTAGATAGATAGACAGATAGATAAGACATCGGTTGATATAGATATATAGATAGACAGATAAATATATAAGACTTCAGTCTAGATAGATAGATAAGGCATCAGTCTAGATAGATAGACAGATAAATAGATAAGGCATTAGTCGTAATAGATATATAGACTGATAGATAGATAGATAGATAGATAGATAGATAGATAGATAGATAAGGTATCAGTCGTGATAGATAGACAGACAGATAAGGCGTCAGTCGAGGTAGATATATAGATAGACAGATAAATAGATAAGGCATCAGTCGTAATAGATAGATAGATAGATAGATAAGGCATCAGTCGTGATTGATAGACAGACAGATAAGGCGTCAGTCGAGGTAGATATATAGATAGACAGATAAATAGATAAAGCATCAGTCGTAATAGATATATAGACTGATGATAGATAGATAGATAGATAGATAAGGCATCAGTCGTGATAGATAGACAGATAGATAAGGCGTCAGTCGAGGTAGATATAGAGATAGACAGACAGATAAGGCGTCAGTCGAGGTAGATATATAGATAGACAGATAAATAGATAAGGCATCAGTCGTAATAAGATAGATAGATGGATAGATAGATAGATAGATAGATAAGGCATCAGTCGTGATAGATAGACAGACAGATAAGGCGTCAGTCGAAGTAGATATATAGATAGACAGATAAATAGATAAGGCATCAGTCGTAATAGATATATAGACTGATAGATAGATAGATAGATAGATAGATAGATAGATAGATAAGGTATCAGTCGAGGTAGATAGACAGACACATAAGGCGTCAGTCGAGGTAGATAGATAGATAAAGCATGTCGTGATAGATATATAGACAGTTAGATAGATAAATAGATAGATAAGGCATCAGTCAAGGTAGACAGACAGATAAGGCGTCAGTCGAGGTAAATATATAGATAGACTGATAAATAGATAAGGCATCAGTCGAGATGGATAGATAAGGCATCAGTCGTGATAGATATATAGACAGTTAGATAGATAGATAGATAAATAGATAGTTAAGTCACCAGGCGAAATAGAGAGATAAGGAGTCAGGCGAGATAGATAAAAAGATAGATGAGGCATCAGTCGTTAGTAAGGCATCAGCTAGATAGATAAATAGATAAGGCATCATTCGAGATAGATATATAGATAGAGAAATAGATAAGGCATCAGTCGAGACAGACAGATAGATAGATAGGTAGATAGATAAGGCATCAGGCGAGATAGATAAGGCATCAGGCGAGATAGATAAGGCATCAGTCGAGGTAGATATATATGAATAGATAAGGCATCAGTCAAGGTAGATCGATCGATAGATTGATAAATCGATAGATAAGGCATGGAGAGTCGAGATAGGTAGATAAATAGATTGATAGAGATGGTATCAACCAAGATATAATATATATATATATATATATATATATATATATATATATATATATATATATATATAAAATAAAAGGAGGATATGTATGTGTGTAACAAATGCACGGCCACAATTTTCGACGGATTTGCACCAAAATTTACATGCACATACTCCAAGACCGAATTTGCATTTCCCAACTCCCATCGATAATGGAAATAATCGAGTTTTTCATGCTTCTACGGCAGTTTTCATGTAGTTTGTGGCCATTTTGTACTGGTCAGAGTGAGAGCCAATAGCTGGCTGCCACGAATAGGCAAGAAGATTCTATTGGCCAGCGTGAGAGCCAACAGATGACTTACACGAATGTTAACTAGCATGCTAGCATGCAAAAAAAATCGATAGCTGCATTCGTCACAAGTGTGAAAAATTTAAATCTGCATGGCACTTTACACCAATTGGCTCATTCGCTTGCTTAAACTTAACATGCTGCTAGTATGTAGTATATATATATATATATATATATATATATATATATATATATATATATATATGTGTGTGTGTGTGTGTGTCTAGATATAAACAATGAGATCGATAAAGTACCCATCAAGATATATACATAGATATGAACAGAATAAGAAGTTTTTTTTAATCATTCCATCCCAATCAAGGTGGTAATGCCACTAGTGCGCATGGTGTTACAGGGAGTGAAGGTGAAAGAAGACTGAGAATAGAGAGGAAAGGACAAAAGATTAACAGGATTTAAGAAGATACAAAATGGCGATTGACGTTGCATTTAAATTTTTGAAGATTGTAGTTATTATAAAAGCAAGTAAACTGAAGGGAATTCTACACTAGGGAAGTGCGAGAAAAGAAACTGTTGGCGTAGAAGTGGCGATTACATTTAACTATTTCAACAGTAAAAGGGTGGGACCTAGTTTCCAATCTAGTATCATGTTTAAATTCATGTAGTCGGGGCACCAGGGGAAAAAATTTCATCAGAGATGTTGCCATGAAAATATTTATAGAAAAGACAGAGGGAATCCACGTTACGTTGGTGAGAAAGTGACTGAAGTCGAGATGCCAGGTCAGGGTCGATTACATTGCAGATCCTTCTTTGGATTTTGTCAAGAATCTCTAGCCTTCACCATATCCATCTTTCCCTGCCTTTTGGCTTCCCCGAGCCCAGGGGAAAACACACTCACTCAACGCCTTCTAACTAATCCATTGCTGGTTCTACCGTGGTTACAAGGATTTCTTCTTGAGTCGCTATCGTAACTTTGCATACGACAAGCCACTTGACCAATTCCACTACGTCATCGGGGGCCCCAAAAGTTAGCCCCGGGGTTATCTTAGGGTATATTCGATATAAATTCTTCAGCTGGAGCATCAAACCATATATAGTAACAGTATTCACAGATCACGACATTTATCATAGAGATGAAATTTAAAATTTTATTATTGCACTATTCCAAAATTTTGACACAACAGCAGGTAGCTATTAATGTCAACAACTGAGCACAAATAGTTATTAATTAAAAAAATTAGTAAATAAAGAATAATATTATCCATAACTACATGTACAAAAATGTCGCTTTTGATAAAAGTTAAAAAAATAACCCTAAATATGTAAAAAATGCGTATATTGTCGAAACTTTTTTTTTTCCACATTATTGCTATTTGTGTTATGTTATAATGTTTATTACCTAAACAATAATAATATAGAATAATTTTTTTTAGACATTAAAGTATTTTAATATAGATTATCCCCAAATAATGTATACACTCCTTGAATCGTTATAACTTATTCAATTTATATATTTTGTACAGTATTTACATTAGTCGGACTATTGTCCTCATCTTTGTCGCCATATTTGTCACAACGTTTCGGCCGTTGTACGCTCCGGCCTTCTTCAGGTGGTTGGAATGTCGAACTGAACCCTTTATTTCGATCACTGTCCTCAAGGACACATGGCATAGTGGATAAAGGCGTTGGTTAGATCCAGTGACAGGACCCAAAGAAGGTGAGTTCAATACCTGGTTAAGGCAGTGGAGAACTTTCAGGGGGAAAATTAGCAGGAGATAACTGACATCCATCAAACATGGCACGTGGAACTAGAACAGTCTACCCCAGTGATCGAAATAAAGGGTTCAGTTCGAAATTCCAACCACCTGAAGAAGGCCGGAGCGTACAACGGCCGAAACGTTGTGACAAATATGGCGACAAAGATGAGGACAATAGTCCGACTAATGTAAATACTGTACATAATACCTCATCTCAGAAATATAGACAGACTCTTATGTATTTTGACTTGTAAATAAGATTAATACAAGAGAAAGAATATACATTTAAAGAATTTGAGAGTAGAACCTAGGAAAAAAAAAAAAAAACAAAAAACAAAAAAAAAACAGAAAATTAATAAGATAAAAGCTATTTGGGGTAATGGCAGAATATTCATATAATGATGAATTCTCATCAAATACTCAAACTGGTTGCCGTTCTGTTCAATACACTTTTCATATCTTGAAGAAATAGACCTACAAACGTCCACTATCATTTCCGCTGCTATTTGAATAAATTCTTCTTCAATTGCTACTCTCAATTCAGCAATTGTTTCAGGTTTCCTGCTGTAAACATTGTCTTTTAGAACCCCCCCCCCACGAAAAGAAACCCAAGGGTGTCAAATCTGGTGGTCTATGTGGGCATTCAATTGTCCCTCTTCTTCCAATCCATCTGTTTTGCAGATTTTTCGTCCATATAAGTTCTCACATCACGGTAATTTATTATTAACTATTAATACGTAAAGAGTGTATACATCATTTTGGGACACCGCGTATTTTATTGTTATACGCTATTTTTGTAGATACAAATATTTAAGTAAATGCTCTGTTTATAATAAACAGTATAAGCAACAGTTACCCGGCTGAACGTCCGAGAAATTTTCATAGAAAATATGCGTCCTCCGACAGGAATCGAACCTGTTTTTCCCAAACGGAACCTCATATAGCCTGACGTGCTATACTAGTTTAGCTACAGAGGAAGAAAAAAAAGAAGTTATTAAGTTTTAACTTAGTAAAAGTCAAGATATCCATTAAAAATTCCAACAAGAATTAAAAATGGCATATACACATGAGAAATCGAGCACACACTTTGGTTTTCCAATTTGGTTATATCTTTGAAACTTAATTTAGCAAATATATTTGGAGAGTCGATCATCATGGCACTGGACATTTTTAATCATGCTATGTTCAATCCAGTTCTTTCTTTCAGACATTCAAAACCATTTTGGAAATTTGCGGTCAGGGTAGGAGTAGTAGTAAATATCCCGAAGTTAAAGGAATAGAAGAGCCCTTCTCAAATAGTACAAGTAGGACATCCTTTTCCCAAATAGTAATACAAATAGGACATCCTTTTACCCTTCTCAAATAGTACAAATAGGACATCCTTTTCCCCTTCTCAAATAATACAAATCTGACATCCTTTTACCCTTCTCAAATTGCACAAATAGGACATCCTTTTATGCTTCTCAAATAATACAAATATGACATCCTTTTACCCTTCTTAAATTGTGCAAATAGGACACCTTTTTACCCTTCTCAAATAGTACAAATAGGACATGCTTTTACCCTCTTCAAATAGTAGAATTAGGACATCCTTTTACCCTTCTAAAATAGCACAAATAGAACATCCTTTTACCCTTCTCAAATAGTACAAATAAGACATCCTTTTACGCTTCTCAAATAGTAAAATAGGACATACTTTTACCCTTCTGAAACAATACAAATCTGACATTTTTTTACCCTTCTCAAATCGTACAAATAGGTCACATGACCCCGTCCAGCATGCACGTATACAATTTCTGAAGAGGAATTAACATAAACAGTGAAATTCTGATCAGTTTTTCACGCTTCACAAACCATTTAAAAAACAAAAC